TTTGTTTAAATTTAATAAAAATTTAATCATATATAGAAATAATTATAAAGAATAAGTTTACTTAATACATAAAAGTTATTTTTATTAATAAAATAAAAAGTTTAATATATGACAACTATTTCCACTTAATTATAATAATTCTTAAGTGGTCCTTCATTTATTGGGGGGGCTGTATATATTTATAATAAAATGTACACATGATATATGATCTTTATTAATATATTTATACAGTATATCTAGACAGGCACCAAGCGTCTTTACAAATTAATTAAAAATTAGTTAATACAATAGATATCTTTTATATCTCTATAATTAATTTGCAGATTAATATTGTTTAATGCTCATATTTCTATCAGACTAGCTACACCAACCACTATTTATCTGACAATGTGTTCATTTAAATACTCAAAGATGTACCCATATGCCAGATGAGACTTTTTACAGGGAGTGAATCCTATCACTAATTTAAACCTACCTAACCTACTAAGTTCATTATTGCAGAAAACAATGTATTTATAGAATATTATTATAGAAACTAACTCCAGTATTCCAGTTATTGTTATTGCTAGATTCTTAAGATGTGTCACTAGCATAACATTGCATTATCATTTTCACCACCTGTAGAACTGGCATTCTTGCTTGAATTCCAATTTGATTTTGATGATCCTTATTAGACTTATTTGGTCTTAATGATTTTTATCTGAATTGTCATTACCTGTGGCAAATAACCTTTGCCTAGGAATCATGAAATATCCAATTCAAATCAATATGCATGATCTGACAGATAATCAATATTATGTGTATGGATTTGAATTGAATATTTCGTAATCTCTACCTTTGCTCTTTCGATCTGTTTAAGTTTAAGAGAATACTACTTTTGGGATAGATGAATAAAGGTTAAATATTTAAACATGCTATATAATAATATTTATAAAAAATAATAGTTATAAGTCATGTCGTAATGGTTGAACTTCTTACTCTTGGGGTGGTGATAAAATAGGTGCTTGGATCGATAGCAAAACAAATAATACGTAGCAAGTAGTGGGAAAGGAACTGTTATCATATGGGTTAGGACTTGGCAAATTTCATCCCTTGAAACATCCTGCTACTCAATTATTTTTTACTTTTATTTTTAATTAGCCTGACGGCCCTTTCTCATATATATAAAAAAATAAATAGCTTTATTGTGTAAAAATTGCTCGTTCTTGGAATTGACAATCAGATGTTATTACATAATTATTACCGCCATTACATAATGATAAATGGAATTTCACTAGAAGTATTTAAGAACTGATTCTGAGTTTTTTTTTTTACACAATTTTTCCCTTCAAAAATGTACTTATCTACTTCAGGACATCTACTGTAACAAACAACTGACTCAACTTTATCTGATATGCCGACGACTCAACTTCGGTTGCACAAAGAGCTCCTTATCTGAGCAAGGGATTGCTTACTTGTGGTTCAACAAGAGAAAAAAATGGAGGCGAGTGATATGGAACCAATAATTATCGCTGAAAATGTGTTACTCGAAGCCTACATCAAGTTTTGTAAAACTAAGCAAAAGCTTCCTGTCAGCATTCATTTTGTCGATGGAAAAGTCATAGCTTATGAAGTGCTTCTCTCGAACCATGCAAAGGTAGCGTACCGAGTCGCTTACTTGGTGGAGAACTGGAACAATCGATTAATTGGCATGACTGGAAAGGATCTTATTGTATCTCAAAATAGTTATTTAACTGTTGATGCTACCATCCGACCTTCCTCCAGCTCCAGCTGGCCAGCAACCTAACTCAGATGGGAGAGCATACCCAATAATGGTTGTTGAAGTTGGCAACAGCGAATCTCTTTCTAGTTTACATAGCCCTTCGACATATTATTTTTCTCCACAAACGACTATTCAAATTTATCTTGTAATCAAACTGTTTCCCATTCGTCAGGACGATACAAGGGTAATGCTTGCACTGCGCTACCTATGTACAAACCAAAATCAAATGGTGCCAGACGTTGTAATATCTTTTGGCACGGTGCCTCTCCATGGTAATACAATGGATTTTCTTTTAAATAATGTGGGCGTTCCATCTGTTAACATTACTGGTGTAGGGTTTACAGCAACTACTTGCAATGCTCCTGGTATTCCAAATTATCAATTACATATTCCTGCTGTTGAACTTTTCAACGGTTCTCCTAGTGGCGTCCCTGCTAGAGCAATTAATGGATTTTATTTGGACTTATGGGAATTACAAAATGTAATATTGAATGTAAACTAACAAATTTCTCAATATCATTGTATTCGGAAATAAGAAACGGGTTGGAAACCTAGTGCATTAATCTAGCTTATTTCTTCTCTTTTAGAAAAATCCAATTTTCTTCGCAGAGTTCTTTTTTGATCAACTGCTTTTCAAATTCTTGTGAAAGTGTTTTAAATGTACGTGTTTCTTATGTTGTTTGCCTTGTGCCTCTATAGTCATGCATTAAAAGATGTAGAGAGCACAAAGAAAGGTTTACCAGCACGATATAAGAAATAACATTTAAACGCAGAATTTATAGTCACTTGGTGATTGTTTTTTTCTTGACATTTTTCGTTAAAATTTTATCACATGAATTTATAAAGAATTAAATATATTTGTATTCTATATAAAAAATGGAAAATACAGAATCTAAAATCGATTCGTTGCAAGAATTAAATTCGAAGCTTTTAGCCGAGATTGCCGAACTTAGAAAGGAGAATGTTGAGATCAAGGCTGAGAATACAAATTGAAACAAGATAAAGAAGAAATCGAGGCCAGAATCGGGGTTAGAACAGGCCACCAAAGAAAATGCCGAGCTCAAGAATGAAATTGTAAAATTAAAACGAGCTGTTGAGAATATTGAAAAGCAAAATCGAACAGTTACTAACGATTTAACCCCACAAGGCCTGCTTTCGCAGAAATCTTCGGAATATTCCACTCCGTTACCTAACGAGAGTTGCTCAAATGGCGAAAATGCGCAGATTAAAGATTCTTCAACTCACCACGAAGCGGATCAATTCATGACTAGCACTGACTTAGTAACTTCAGAACAGGTAGTTAACACAATTTCCAATACATCTAACCTTAATGAAACTGCTCCGGAAAATCCAAATCATTAGAAGATAAAGAAATTGATGTCTTTTTAGATTCTGAAAATAAGAAAAGGGTTAGAAATGAGATAAGGCAGAGGAATATGGAAAAAAAACTATTACATAGTAATGAAGCTTCTGCTTCTCAAGATCAAGACCTATCTTTAGTTAATCAGGATGCTTCAACGGGATCTGAAAAGACAATAACATCCTTATCATTATGTGATACAAAAACCGTGACAAAATGTCACGAACTTGACAATTCTGATACTACCTCCGAAATACTTGAATCAGATAATCAAATCGTAGAAGGTTTAATACAAGAGATGACCTATGATCAAGCAGAAAATTTTGTTTCTTCCGAAATAAATCCTTTATATTCAAATAATGATGAGGATATGGCTCCGGGTTCTGTGCAAAGTTTATCTGACTTATTTGATAAAGAAATTAAATCGGGTCAAAAACAAATTTTAAATTGATATTATTATTCTCTAGAATTTGAAGATAAGGTTAAAAGCCTTACAGCAAATGGTCAGATTAAAGATAAAACAGTAAGATCAAAAATATATAAGGAAACGAAACCTTTTCTACTTAATATTACAGATGAAAATTTGCGTAAGAAAACAGAAAGAGCGAGAAAAATTCTTAAGCTATTTAGTGATAGAGAAGTAGGCATAGATAAAGTCGAATACATTACATATAGTGCAAGTCAATTTCGAGATTGAAAAATTCTCAATTCAGCATATCATAAATGAGGTGACTTCAAAAACCGTGACAAAATGTCACGATCAGATTAATGTGGAGGTAAGTGATCTAACTAAATCACCAATATCCAATTCTTCCGCTTTGAAAGCTTTAAATGTTAGTATATCACCTATCTCTAAACCCTAGGAATATTTACCGGAAGCCAAGACCTTATCTGAAAAACAAAATAATCCAGTCCATACCCATGCTAATTTCCGCAACAAAACATTGGAACAATATCCCGATATGTTTTATGAATATAGTAATGAAGGTGCCGATTATTATGGAATTAATTTTGAGTCATTATTTCCAATATGCAAGTTAAATCATGAGGATGAGGGCAATTACAAGGCTAGATCCTACTATATCAAGTGTGAAGCATCCGAAATTGATATGATCCAGTACATTGGCCATGCCAGCTCTGCTGATGCTGAAATAATTGTTAAGTTTTGTTTATTTGTATTTTCTTGACAGCTATATATTAATATGCAATAAAGATCGGATCTATATTAATCTAAACATTTAATATTTTTTATACGAGAACCTACATTTGTATAAATGATAATGTCTTCTAACTATTTTTGCCAGCTATTGTTAATTTAAAAAGATGTACAATCACAAAATGTTAACATGAATACACAAACCAAGACCGATAAAACATTAACTCCTGAATATTTGGAGTGGCTTGCTAAATTAACTAGTTTACCAAGCATTCTGACAGATGAAATTCACTCCACATTATATAAAAGATATAAGAAAAAAACTGGACTCAATCATTGGATAAACTCAGAATCCTCACAAATCGAAAATGCTGATAATTATCTTTCACTAGACTGTATCATCAATATTTCTAAATTTCCAAAAGAGAAATATATAATTATTAAAATAGTACATAAACGCTTCCCTTTCTTGACATATACCAATTCTAATGCATGGCATCGAGATGTTTTTAAATATATCGATTCAGAAGCTAAATGCCCAATATGTAAAGAGTTACATACATGTTTAGGAATATGGATGACTAGAGCTGTCTAGATAAAAATAATCACTATTTTCTTAATTGCCCTTTTTGTACCGATCAAAATAAAGTTGTAATTGCTATACAAAGTTTACCGGAAACTCAGAGAAGGGTACCAAATAAAACCCGCCTTTATCAGCCAAAGGTTGGCTTACGCCAAATATATTGAAAAAATGGTTCATGTAATTCAACCATTTTATATATTATTAAACCTTCAATATAAGTTATTTCAAATGCACAAAAATTGAATCATATAATCCCAAAGTATATAGTTGATAAAATCTAATAGGTCTAAATTCCTAAAATATGATATAATTACAAACTCTAAAAAACACTATAATTAGGTCATATAAAATGACTAGCTTAAGTATATTATATGGAACTAATTGTACTTATGCTAAATGGAATGAATATGTAAAGTTGCTACAAATTTATAATAATGAAACTCCCAGTGAGTGAATGAAATGGATTTGGAAATGTCTTACATATTTTAGAAATAATGATCTATTACTTACTGAAAGTAAAAAATATCTTGAGGCTAAGTTATGTACCTGAAATTAGTATTGCTATCTGTTTCTCTTGCAATTAATTAGTATATATATAAGAACAAATCAAAAATATAAATAATTATAATCATATAGAAATGGAGAGACATTGAGCTTCTTATTGTACAAGAAATACCTTTTGTGATATGAGTTATGAAGAATATATGAAAATTAAGCAAAAAACCTAATTTTACATATAATTTTAATAATGAATATAAATTATACAAATATGGTTTGTAAATGTATAATGCAATCAAAAAGATTAAACACATTAAAAAAGCTGGTTTAACTGCTTAAAGTTAGTATTATATTATACTTATTTACAAAATATTAGAGCAGAAATACATCAAATTAATAATGTATAGATATTAATATCTGTAAAATAAATTATTACCTATATTAATATAATAACATATAATTTACTTCATCAGGAAATTTTTTTGGTGGAGATCTCCAGAGATCTCCATTCAAAAAAAATTTTCAAAAATTTCCGGAGAAATCTTTGAAAATCTTCAAAGGTTTTTAAGAATTTTTAATATAGAATTTTTTAAAATAAAAAAACTCTGGAA